GGGGAGGGGCCGGGGGAGGGGCCGGGGAAGGGGCCGCTGGGTTCAGGTCTCAGGCTGCCGCCAGAGGTGAGACCCTCAGGATCGGGCCTCCCTCTGCACTGACCTAACGCGAGGTCACCCAATGGAGCACCAGCCCAGGCCCGCACACAGTAGGTGCTAAATAAGTGTTTACTGGATGACGCAATGGAGGTGGAGAAGGGGTGGAGGGTGGGGGGTGCTGCCGTCTGCCTGACTTCTGTCCCTCCCTCCTGTCTGGGGGTGGGGGAGCCATCGCGCTGTGACGCGGTGACACTGACGACACTGACGATGCCTCTCCACCGAGGCTCCCCCCTGCTTTCTGGAGCGGCCACAATGACAATGGAGAGCATGGCCAGCCCCTGAGAAGGGCCCGCCTGGCCCCGTGCGTGACCGCGGGCAGCGCCCACCCTCGCACTCTGACAGCCGCTGGCAGCCACCTTCATTGTCCCACTTTTAAACATCGTGGCAAAATTCACATAACATAAAACTGACCGCTGGGCTTCTTAAAGTGTACGATTCAGGGGTTTCTCGTACATTCACAAGGTTGTGCAACCATCACCTCTATCAACTTCCAGAACATTCTGACTCCAAAAAGAAATCCGCCCCCATTAGCAGTTAACCCCCTCCTCAGCCCCAGGTAACCTGTATTTACTTGCTGTCTCTATGAATTTGCTTATTTTAGGGACCTCAGATAAATGGGATCACTCACGTGTGGCCCCTCGTGTCTGGTTCCCTCCCTGAGCGTCGTGTGTTCGGGGTCCGTCCGCGGGGCGGTGGGTGTGGGCGTCTTGTTCCTGCTGGCGGCGGAGGGACGTGCGCGTGCGCGGTGGACACGGTCATCTGTGGACGTGCGCGTGCGCAGCGGACCCGTCGTGTGTCCTTCCTTAACCTGATGGACGTTAGCATTATTCCCACGTTCTGGCTGCCGTGAACGCTATGTCTAGTGTTTACCGGGATGTGTGTGCACTTTCCTGGGGGTGGACACTCAGGAGTGCAGTCACTGGGTCATATGATGAGTCCGTGTTGAGCTTTTTGAGGACCTGCTGACCGTTGTCCACAGCAGCCCCCCATCTCACCTCCGTCCAGCTGTGGATGAGGGTCTGTCTCCCCACTGGGAGCTCTTTGCAGGAGGAAGGACCCGGCTGGGAGCGGAGTGGCTCGGGGGTGTCCTTGAGCTCCACAGGCTGACCAGGGGTCCTGGGGACTTTTCTCCCATACTTAGGTTCCTCGTTGGGACAACATAATCAGCCTGCAGGCCAAGTCCCCTGTGGACGAGGAATGCGTTACCAAGATGACGGAGGGGATCCTGAGGTCCCAGGTCTGGACTCAGCTGCGTGGCTCCTGGCTCCTGTGAGCTGCGGTCCCTCGTCTGTGAAGTGGGGACAACGGGAAATAGTCTGGAGTTTCCTCAAAAGTTAGGAGTTGTCACGTGACCCAACACTTCCACTCGGAGGCCCCGAAGCATTGAACACATACCTTGAGACAAACCCTACAAACCCTACAGCGTTTGCTGTAGCAGGTGTCCAGGAAAACCCAGGCGGCCATCAGTACGGACCATCAAGTACGTGCTCATGGTCATTTGGGTGTCTGTCTTCAGGAACTTCCAGTTCAAATTTCTGGCCCGTTTTCTTAAATTAGGTTGTTTGAGTTTTGTCATTGATTTGTGAGCGTTCTTTACATATTCTAGACCGGAGTCCTTTTTTGGGTTACGTGTGCTGCAAGTATTTTCTCCCAGTCTGCGCTTTGCCTTCTGACTCCCCTAATGGTTTCTTTGAACAAACCAAGTGGTTACAAATAAAATACTACATGTTTAATTAGAAATACATTTTACAGGCCGGAAGGTTAACATGAATCGTTGAGGAGACAGTCCGCCAAAGTTGCTCCCGGTTTTCCACGGGAAGGCAGAGGGAATGAGCCTGGCTTCACTCACAGATAAAGTGATGAATGTTGCCCGAAGCACCCTGACGTGTTCAGGGTCACCTGGTGCGGCAGCCCCAGCTCTGCGCTCCTGACCCTGGTCTGGGGAGATGTCTGCCAGGGATGTTTCTGGAAGACGCATCCCTTGGCCCTCGTTAGGGTATTTCTGAGCAGATCTGCAGGGTTGGCATATGCAGCTCCCCATTTGAAGTTACAAAACCTCATTTCCTGCCGAGGCGGATGGAAAAGACTGGGGACGGGGAGGTCTCTGTTTACATCTTGTCCACTCCGGCTGGTCAGTCATTTGTGTGGCCACATGGTGTGGAATGCGAGCTTGGCCACCCACAGGGCTCTCAGAGGACGTGTGTCCCCTGCCCAGGGCCCCCGGGCCCACCTCCGGGTCTTCTCAGATTTTCCCATGGGGACAGCGGGTGCTGGCAGGGGCCGGGTGAGCACAGCCGGCAATCACGGCCCAGGCATTCTGGGCACAAATATTTGGAGCCTCAGAACCCTACTTGTAGGTATAAACCCCAAAGAACTAGAAATAGGTGTGGACACAAAAATGGGTGGAAATGGGCGCTCACAGCAGGGAAGGGGCTGGAAGCAAACTGTCCATCAGCGGACAGACGTGTCCACCGTGCATGCGCACGTTGGCAGGAACAGCAGCGAGGCGCCCACCCCCGCCACCCTGGGGACGGACCCTGAACACATGACACTCAGGGAGGGAACCAGACATGAGAGGCCACACGGGGTGTGAGTCCATGTGTGTGAAACGTCCAGATCATCCACGGAAGGGAAGGGGGCTCGTGGTGCTGGGGGAGGGGAGAGGGGGTGATGGGGACGGGGTCTCCTTTGGAGATGGAATGTTCTGGAACTAGAGACAGGACGGCTGCACAGCCTTGTGGATGCCACTTTAAAATGGTTAATTCGGGGCGCCTGGGTGGCGCAGTCGGTTGAGCCTCCGACTTCAGCCAGGTCACGATCTCGCGGCCCGTGAGTTCGAGCCCCGCGTCGGGCTCTGGGCTGATGGCTCAGAGCCTGGAGCCTGTTTCCGATTCTGTGTCTCCCTCTCTCTCTGCCCCTCCCCCGTTCGTGCTCTGTCTCTCTCTGTCCCAAAAATAAATAAACGTTGATAAAATGGTTAATTCTATGTTACGTGGATTTTACCTCAATTAAAAGGTAGGTTTAACATTTGCAGCTTCTCTCTGCAGACGCAGAGGCCCACGGACGGGCCTGGTCTCCATCCGACGTGTCCCTGGGCGCACAGAGCTGCCGCTCTCCCCTTCGTTTCTCCCCTCTTTGTCTGTTCTTGGACCCTGTCTTGAATCGGTGTGGCTGAGCCCCGGGCAGTTTTCCATGTGCGTGTGTCCCTGGGATACCGTGACCACAGCCGACAGACTGTGAAATGTGTCTTAGAATAAAAGCGCTCACAGTGTGCAGAAAGGTGCCAGACGCACAGTGGCCCGCCGGCCCAGGGTCCTCTGTCCAGAACCAGCATCTGACTTGACACAGAACCTTCCAGAGAAGATGGTATATCACGAGCTCGGGCCCCCGCCCCAGAGCCCTGCTCCGACCAGGCCACCGCCTGCCCTTCCCCGCGGACACCTGCACATGAGCCCTCGCATGACCACCTGCATATGGTGGCAGGCGATGCCCTGACCCGGGTTGGCGGATGGGGGAAACCGAGGCTCAGGAGCTCACAGAGCCAGCCGGCTGCCGGGTCCCAGGCCACCTTATTAGGGTGAAACCAAGGCCTCTGGTTGCTGTGTTTTTAGGGACAGAAGGTATGTGTATGTGTAAGAAGCTTAAGGTAGGAGTCAGCAAACAGAATGTGTGGCTGGAGCTTGTCTGGGGTTCCTGACCCCCGCCTGGGCTCTCCGAGGGGCGGTGCCGGCCGCGGGACGCGCCCCAGGGCTTCAAGGAACAAGCAGGGGCTGGCAGGGCCGCGTCCAGGGTCACCCAACAGCCATGGTCGGGCAGCAGAGGCCTGGGTGCCCCTGGTTCCAGAAACACCCCTTGGCAGCCTGCCCCTGGCCCGGGGGCCCCAACAACCGTGTGGCCGTCACCTAGAGTCTGGGGGAAGGCGGGGACCCCAATCTGCCTGTACTCCTTTGCCCTAGATGAGGCCGCTTGTCCCTCTGCTGCCCAGGGGAAGAAGGGAAAGGGCGGTCTCTCCGGGCCTCAGTTTACCTGCCTGTAAAATGCGCCTGGGCAGTGGTCCCTAACTCAGGGAGCAAGAAGGAACTTGGGGAGGGAGGGGCCAGTGTGGCTGGAGAAACGGAGTCCCCGCGGGCTCCCACTGACAGAGGCCAGAGTGTCGGGCCCAACAGAACGGCCTCTCTGGTTATTACCACTAGGTTGTCAAGGGACAGCCTGCGCTTTTACAAACCTTTTAAGGAGGCAGACAGCATACATCTCGCGACTGAGGAGGTACCCGGTGGGACACAGGCCCCCCGTCCCTGGCCCCGTGAGGGTGGGGGTCTGAGGTCAGCCACACCTTCCCAGGAATGAAGACGCCCCGCCCCCCCCCCGCTTTGGGGGCCGAGACTGCAGGGCACCCCCCCGGAAGAAAGGGTGGGGGGGGGGTCACAGACGCGAAGGCAGCCGGAAGCCCCTGCATTTGCCCCGAGGGCGGTAGCGGCCATCCCAGCCCCTCAAAGGGTCGTGAGCCAGGCGTGGCTGGCCGCTGGGGAGCACGGTGGTCCTGACCACACTCGGGGACTGCAGATGCCACAGGAGGCAGCCGGCGTGGGGCGGCCTTGTCCCGGGCCCGGGGGCCCCCCCCCCCCCCCCCGCCGGCCCTGCAGCCCGTGCTCTCACGCCAGCCCCATTTATAACGGGAACCGTGAACCGTGGAAAATTCTCCCGGCTCCACCGAGCTGCGCTCATCAATAAGTCACGGGCAGGACACGTCAGTCCCCGCCCCCCTCCGGGGAGCAGCCGAGAGGCAGCCGCGCCACGAGGGGCCTCGCTGGGCTGTTCACCGGTCGGCCCTTCCTCGGAAGGTCAAACGTGGACTCCCCGTGGGACCCACCAACGCTCCCCCGCCCCCGCCTGAAAGCGAATCAGAGCCCCGAACACCGAGCTCCGCACAAACCTGCACACACGCGCTTGCGGTACGCAGGAGGTGGCCACACCCAGGCGCCCCCTGTGCACGCCCACGCCCCTCCGGCGTGTCGGCCGCGCACGCGCACGCGCACGCCCACAGAGGACTGTGCCCACCGCGCACGCGCACGTCCACAGACGACCGTGTCCCCCGCGCACGCGCACATCCCTCGGCCGCGCGCAGGAGCGAGGCGCCCGCCCCCGCCGCCCGGCGGATGGACCCTGAACGCGCGACGCTCACGGAGACAACCAGGCACGAGAGGCCGCGCGGGGGTGTGAGTCCACGTGTGTGAAACGTCCGGAGCAGGCTCATCCACGGACAGGAAGGGGGCTCGTGGCGGCCGGGGGAGGCGCTGGGACGCGTTGCTTTTTGGGCGACACGATGTTCTGAAAGTTATCAACAGTGATGGATGCCCAGCAATGAATGGGACCCTCTCTCAGCAACCGCCACGTGTGCCAGGCTGTGCGTTAGATCCTCAGAACCTTCTCACCTCGTTTTTTTTTTTTGTTTTTGTTTTGTTTTGTTTTGTTTTTTAAAACGTTCTCTTCTTTTTTTTTTTAATTTTTTTTTCAACGTTTATTTATTTTTGGGACAGAGAGAGACAGAGCATGAACGGGGGAGGGGCAGAGAGAGAGGGAGACACAGAATCGGAAACAGGCTCCAGGCTCTGAGCCATCAGCCCAGAGGCCGACGCGGGGCTCGAACTCACGGACCGCGAGATCGTGACCTGGCTGAAGTCAGACGCTTAACCGACTGCGCCACCCAGGCGCCCCGAACCTTCTCACCTCGTAACTGGAAGTTTGTGCTTTGATGAATCTCCCTGTCCCCCTCGAGTCCCTGGAGGCCACATTTGCCGTCTCCGCTCCTGTGAGCTTGAGGTGGCAGTAGGATCTTACGGTGCTCGTGTTTTCGGTCCGGCTGGGCCCCTCAGCACAAGGCCCTCCGTGCCCCGCCACTCGTCACAAATGGCCCGATCGCCTTTTCTGAGGCTGGATGGGACTCCGTTGGGCGGACAGACAAGATGTGAGGTGCGGATACGTCTTCACGCGCTCATCCGCCGCGGGGCACGGGCCGCTGGTGTCTGGGCCGCTATGAGAAGCCCCCCCCCCCCCCCGTGAGCTTAGAAGAGCAGAGATGCTTTCGCGCCAGAGCTTCCACTCCCTCTGGGAAAATACCTAGTGGTGCAATTGCTGGACCCAAGGGTACTATTTGTGCTCTCAGGACCCTCCACACTGTTCTCCAGAGCGGCTGCACTGGTTTGCACTCCCACCAGCAGTGCAAGAGGGTTCCCGTTTCTCCGCGTCCTGGCCAACACGTGTTTCCTGAGCTGTGGATTTCAGCCGCTCCGAACTGCGGGAGGTGGGGACTCACTGTGGTTCTGACGTGCGTTTCCCTGATGCTGAGCGATGCTGAGCATCTTTTCATGTGTCTGGTGGCCATCCGGATGGCTTCTTCGGAGAAACAGCTGTTCAGATCCTCTGCTCGTTTTGTCATCGGTGTCACATCCAGACCTCGCTTTACAAGGACCCACGCCCTGCTTCTCAGTATCCTTGTTTAAAAAAAAAAAATAGGCTTTTTAAAAAAATCAGTTTGAGGGTTACAAAAAACTGAGCAGGACCTGCATAGAGTTCCCTCCGTCTCCCTCACCGTGGTGTCTTTTCATCATTAGCAATGTGCATTGGTCTGGTACGTTAGTCACACGGGTGAGCCAGCTCTGAACGTGACGAACCAGGGTCCACAGCGGACACGAGGTCACTCCTGGTGCTGCACACCCCGTGGGTTCGGACGAATGTCACGGACACCTGCCCACCACCACGGTGTTGTCCGGAGTAGACCCATGGCCCCGAAATTCCTGTGCTCCTCCCATTCACCCTCCCCCACCCCGGCAGCCGTGCCTCCGTGGTCCTGCCTTGTCCAGAACATCCTGGACTTGGAACCACCCCGTGTGTCGCCTCCTCAGCCTGGCTTCTGTCACCGAGTGCTGTGCGTCCGAGGCTCCTCTGTGGCTCTGCGTGGCTCGATGGCTTGTTCTTAGTGCCGGATGGACCACAGTCTATCTGTCACCTGTTGAAGGAAGGGCAGCACACTTGCTCCCAAGTTTGGCCAATTACGAATGAAGCTGCTGTAAACACCGTGGGCTGTGTGTGGACATCATTTGCCTCCGCAGAGCTCAGGCCACCGTCTGTGAGACCATCACAGGAATCCACGGGACCCAGGCGGGTTGCCAGTGCCCGGACAGACCCTGAAGGTGGCTGGAAACCAGGATCAGGCAGATGATGCTTCATATCCCCCACCTCTGGGAGGAGTGACCGACTGGGACTGCCTGAGCCTCAGTTTCCCGAGTTGCGATGAGGCCTGGAGGGGAGGGTAAAAGGCTGCCTGGGCTCCTGCAGGCTGGGGGGGGTAGAGGGGGAGGGAATCCCTGCTCTGCCCTCCCCCTCCCCCCACCCCCCATACCCCCACTTCAGGAAGGAAACGCTGGAAAGAAGCCACCAGGTGCAACTACAGACGAGCAAGCAGTCATGGCCCCTGGCGCCTCGCCTTGCCTCGCGGGGACACGAACCTCACGCTCAAGAAAGTGGTGCGGCAAACACTCGGGGCAGGTTTTACCAGCCCACGGAGTCCAAGGCGGCAGCGCAGCGTGGGGCTGCCCAAACTTGTCCAGCTTCCCAGCCCTCTCCGTGCACCCGGCTCTCGGATGATGAAAACACACCACGTGGTCCGCGGTGCCTGGCGACAGCCTGAGTCCACCAGGCACCAAGGCCAGGGTCCGACCCCAGGATCCGCGCCGCGTCCACGCAGCGATGGGAAGACGGTAAAACGGGGCGGCCGCTGTGGAAGACAGCCAGGCAGAGACTCGCTGCCCGTGTGTGCATGTCGCAAACTGCACACGCGAGTGTGCCCACGATGCCCGCTCACAACTGTTCCCAGCAGCCAAAGATGCCCGCCCACTTGTGGAGGGACACACACGACGTGTCCACGGTGCACGCGCACGTCCACAGACCGTGTCCCCCGTGCACGCGCACATCACTGAGCCGCGAGCAGGAGTGACGGACCCGAACACAAGACGCTCAGGGAGGGACCCGGACACGAGAGGCCACACGGGGTGTGAGCCCGCGTGTGTGAAACGTCCAGAACAGGCTCATCCACAGATGAGAAGGGGGCTCGTGGGGGTGGGGGGAGATGATGGCTGATGAGACGGGGCTTCTTTTGGGGTGATGGAATGTGCTGGAACTAGATAGGGGTGATGGTGGCACAATATAACCAACGTACCAAATGCCCCTGAATTGTTCACTTAAAAATGGATAATTCTACATTATGCGAACTTACCCTCAATTTAGGAAAACAGGAATTCTCCGAGCAACTCTCCTTCCCCCCAACCCCAGGCGCTGGTGGCTCACTGGCCGGAACCCCTGCATGCAGCTCTGTGCTGGGCGGGCTGCCGCCGCGGGACCCCCAGCACCTACTTCGCGCCTGAGCCTGGCCCCACATCTCCAGTTTCCCGAGAACCATCTCATGGCAAAAACCGTCCGGCTCACACAGGGGCCTGAGACGTTACCTTGTTTCTCCCCACTTTTCATTCCAGAAGGAGGCCTGGTCGCACAGGGGGGCTCTGGGGCCTTCCCCGCCCCACACCAGTGCCCCTGAGGTCGCGGGCTCCCAGCTGACCTGACCTCTGAGCTCTGCAAGGCGTGCCCCCCCGTGCCCCTAGCATAGACACCCTGTCAGGGTCCGGGCAGTGAAGCAGCCCGCTGTCCCCCCCCCCCCACCCCGAGGAGGTCACTCACTGCACACTGGGACACAGACACGGGGCTGCGGGCTCAGTGGAATCCCGCCGGGAACCCGAGGGCCTGCGTGGAGATCAAGATGGGGTGGCTCACGTCAGGCAGGGACGCCAGCAGCCGAGGCCTAAGTCTGATTAAATCCCCTTAAAGGGGAGGATTCGCACAAACGTCAGACTCTCCAGACTGACCTCTGAACAAAACAGACTTTCTGCCGCTCAAGCCCAGTAAGCAGCCTGTGCCCAAGCTGACCCAGCTCAACCTGACCCAGGCCGCCCGGCCTCGTGTGCCCGTGCACGAGGAAGCCAAGTTCCACCCGTCGTGAAATGTCACTGAGTTCCGATCCCGAACCCGTCTCGCGATGACACTAACCTTGCTTTATGACCGAATAAAGCTGACTTCGTGGAAAGACAGGCCTGGCGTGTGCACCTCACAGAGAGCTGGGATTCCTCACCAGGGAGGCTGGCCGCTGTCCACCGGCGTCCACGGTCGCGCCCCCTCCCCCGGACCCAGGCTCGGCGTCCACCGCAGCTCAGCCTGGCCAAGCGGCAGAAATCTGCTCTTTGCTGCCCTCGGCGGGGCCGTTCCCCACCCCCCACCTCCCCGCAGGGTGGCGGTTCCGGTTCCGACGGGGGCGGGGGAGGCCCAGAGACACTGGGCGTGGGCTCTGCGTGGCCAGGGTGCACGTGCAGCCTAGATGCACACACTCCAAGGAAAAATAATCCTCGGTGTGGGTGTCTGGGTGGGGAGAGGGGGGTGTAGCCCGGAGGGTGCTGGAACGTTCCCTGCCTGGGCCAGGGGGTGGTTCTAGAACTTGCTAAAAGTCCCAGCAGAATCTGAAAGGAGAAAGGAACTCCTGCCGGCTGTAATTTAAAACAAACAAACAAACAATGTGGAAGCAGAGCAGGAATGCCAGGCATGTGGGCCGGTTTCCCCTCCCGGGGCCTCCAGGGCCCACCCAGGCTCCCTGCAGCCTCTCGGTGTCCTGGGGGAGGAACAAGGAAAATTATTAACGAAAAAGCAATCAAAACTGCCCCAAACCCTCCTCCTGGCCCCCTTCCACTCCTGCTGCAAGTCCTTGATAAGAAAGCATCGGGGGCACTGCTGAGGTCCAGGCACAGTGGTGCTGCCTTGTGGGGGACTCGGGGTCTGGGTGGGAGGCCCTCACGGTTTGAATTCTGCGCGGTCTGGGGTGTAAATGCACCGCCATGGAAGGTTCCAGAGACCAAGGTTTCCCAGGAAGAAATAACCACGAACTGCCTCTAAAGCCTTGGCCCTGTTCTCTGTCGGCCGTGTCCATGCTGTCTGCCGGAACCCCACACAATATCTGGAAATGACACAAGAACATTCCGGAGGCCAGAGGCTGTGCTTTGGAGATAAACACGAGTATCTCAGTATGTTCGTTTTTATTCTTGGGACCGATTTTATCTTCGGCAAAAAGGAAGTCGCCAAGAAAACAAGCAGCCAGCCAGGCCTGCTCTTCCCACCTGAGTTTAGAATTTTCCGCCAGGGGAATGTCTGGGAATGTTAAGCCCTGGTGGTCAGAGAAGCTTGGGGGGAGGGGCAAGACAAAATGTAGCTTGCTTTTGAAAAAAACAAGGACATCGGGGGCACCTGGGTGGCTCGGTCAGTTATGCGTCCAACTTCAGCTCAGGTTGATAGATCGGGGTTCATGAGTCCGAGCCCCACGTCGGGCTCTGTGCTGACAGTGTGGAGCCTGCTTGGGATTCTCTCTCTCTCTCTCTCTCTCTCTCTCTCTCTCCCTCTCTCTCTCAAAAATAAATAAACATTAAAGAAAAAAAAGGATATTGGACTTTAGGAAAAGAAAGACGGTCACCTCAGTCCCTCTGGGCTTTTCTTCTTCTTGTTTGCTGAGCTTTGTGGTTCAGACGGGAAGGCTCTTGGCCGTTGGGCTGGTTGAAGGGAGGGGCCGGTGGTCCCAGAACCAGACAGGACAGGCGGCAGGTCCCAGGCCAGCTGTGCTTGGGGAGGGTAACGGCCCCTGTCGACTGTGGGGCCGGGGCCAGCCAGAAACGTGTGTGTGCTGAGCAGCGCCTGGGTTCAGGGCTGACCGCGGCCTGTGGCCGCTAGTAAGTCGTCGGCAAGTGACGAGAAGCCAGGCCAGCCGGTGAGTGTGAGGGGCCAGGGCAAGAGGTGCCCCGCCAGCGGGACGAGGGCGGTGGCGGGCTCCCGTGCGGCAGGTAGACCAGGAGGAAGAGGTGCGACCATCAGAAGCCATGACCAGTGCGAGTTAAAGATGGTGTTTCCCCGGGGCGCCTGGCTGGCTCAGCTTAAACTGAGTCGGTTAAGCATCCGACTTCGGCTCAGGTCATGATCTCGTGGTTCGTGGGTTCGAGCCCCATGTCGGGCTCTGTGCTGACAGCTCAGAGGCTGGACCCTGCTTCGGATTCTATGTCTTCCCCTCTCTCTGCTCCCTCCCCCACTCGTTCTGTCTCTCTCTCTCTCTCTCTCTCTCTTTCTCTCTTCTCTCTCTCTGAAAATGAATAAACATTGGGGCGCCTGGGTGGCTCAGTCGGCTAAGCATTCAGCTTTGGCTCAGGTCCCGATCACACGGTTTGTGGGTTCAAGCCCCATGTCAGGCTCTGTGCTGACAGCTCAGAGCCTGGAGCCTGTTTCGGATTCTGTGTTTCCCTCTCTCTCTGCCCCTCCCCTGCTCATGCTCTCTCTCTCTTTCAAAAATAAACATTAAAAATAATTTTTTTAATGAATAAACATTAAAAAATAATTTTAAAAAAAATGGCGTTTTTTCCAGAGCCCCAGTTTGGGAACATGGAAAGTTCTGGAGACAGATGGTGGGGGTGGTTGCGGGACCGTGAGTGTGCTCAGTGCCGCTGAGCTGTGCACTTGGAAATTGTAAAAAGGATACATGTTATGATATGTGCATTTTGCCATAATACCCTTTAAAAAAATGGTTTCAGGAGGAATTTTAGGATCATCCAGAAACCAAATAAAGGGAAGGGAGAAACGGGTTTCACTTCGGCCAAGACAGAATAAAGCTACAAAATACAATTTTTAAAACCTGCTCCATGTGATAACACCAAAACACCAGCAGCGGTCACCTCCAGGCTGACTGCCAGGATGCGCACCCCCTGCTCTGCAGCAGGTCGATGTTTGAGTATTTTCTACCTGAGCCTGGGGGCTGAGGTCGGTTTCATCTTATTTTGTTTTATTTATTATTTATTTATTTATTTATTTATTTATTTAAAAAAATTGTTTAATGTTTATTCATTTTTGAGAGAGAGAGAGAGAGAGAGAGAGAGAGAGAGAGCGCAAGTAGACGAGTGGCAGAGAGAGAGGGAGACACTGAATCCGAAGCAGGCTCCAGGCTCCGAGCTGTCAGCACGGAGCCCGACGCGGGGCTTGAGCCCAGGAACCGTGAGATCGTGACGTGAGCCAACGTTGGACGCTAAACCCCCCTGGGTGGGCTTTAATGTGTCCAGGTAACATGGGCACAGAAGGCTGGAGGGCCACCTGAGACCCACGGACCTGTCACGCTTGGGAGTGATGATGGGCCACCCTCGACCGTATGCAGTCATTTTCGGCCAGCGCTCAGCACGCACGGACTGGGATCCCAGTTACGCGTGTGAATCAACACGCACGCGGTACACGGGATAAGCAGGCGAGATGCACGCCTGTGTCCGCGTGTGCGCGCGTCCCCCATTCGAGACGAGCGGATACAGGACCCGTTCCGGCAGGAGGGCCTCTGAGGCTAAAGGCAGGTCTCACTGGCTTGGGGGCTGTCACGGCTGGTTTCTCGTTTTCTTCTACGCGGCTAATTGTGTACAGTGAGAATTTGACGTACATAAATTTTAAGTTCAGTAAGAAAAAACATGGACAAAAAGTCTCAGGAACGAGAAGCAGCCGCCGTCGCCAGCAGCCCCCTGCCCATCTGTGGATGAGCCTGTTCTGGAAGCTTCACACACGTGGAGTCTCACGCCCTTTGTGTCTGGGGCGTTTGGTGACTCCAGGTTTACCTCTGGAGGAACAGCCACTGTTTTCCACGGTGGCCGCAGCGTTTCGCTTCCCGCTGGGAGGGCTCCAGCCCCCACAGCCTGGCCCACACTCGTCATCCGCCCTCGTGGGTCTGAGGGTCTGAGGCGCCAGCTCACTGTAGGTTCAGTTAGCATTTCCCTGACGGCTGAGCGCGTCTTCGTGTGCTTGTTGGTCATTCATCCAACTGCTGTGCGGAAACACGCATCAAAGCCGCTGAGGAATTTGGAGCCAGCGGCTCCCCCGCCCCCCCCCCCCACCCCCCGGCCACCAGGCAGCCAGGAGCAGAAGCCCCTGCAGGTGCGTGACAGGCCTTCGCCCAAACCCCTCTGGTGGAGCACCCACGCAGCCCCCACACCTTGGCCCACCAAAACGGCAATAACCGGGGACACAGCGTCTCGAGGCCCAGAAGGGGTGGCCTCTGCATTGGCCACCTTCTAGTGCGTTCAGCCCAACGTGCAGACGGGCCTTGCCCTGGGCCCAGGGTGGGTTGTCGGGGGCCTCGCCCGGGCAGGTGGCCCTCAGGCCGCTGGAGCTGGTGCTGCCCACAGGGATCACGTATCTGTTTCCCACCATAAACTATTAATGCCGCGGTGCCTCCAGCAAGAGGCTCCCAGTCTGGGTTTCACATGGTGCCTGTTATGAAACCTGAGGCTAGTCTGCCTTCTGTCCTGGAGTCCCAGCGTCCTCTGTGCCTGGATCCTTCCAGAACTGGCTTCCCACGTCTCCTACAATGTGGAGGCCCAACCTCTGGGGAGCATGACTGCAGAAGACGCTGGGGGCAGGTCGTTCTCAGGGCGGGGGGGGGGGCGTCTTGGGCACTGTGGGGCTGAGCGGTATCCACCCCTCCCCGCCAGGAGCTCCCAGGGTGACACCCACAGGCGTCCCCAACACCGGCCAGCGGACATCAGTTGGGCCCTTCTGGGTCTGCCACACGGCTGAGTCTGGGGGCTCCTCACTGGGGAGGGGGCGGTGGGGGCTGCGGTCCCCTCATGCCCGTGACCCTGCGGACAGGCAGGTGGCAGGTGAACAGGTGGCCACGGGATCGCTTACAGCCCGGCTCGCGTTCCCTCCTCATAATCGAGACATCTTCCTGTTCATGAATTTTGCAGGACCGCGGAAGCGAGCTGCCCCATCGTGACTTCACAGCCGTCACTCCGCCCTTCCAGCCCCCCAGGATCGCAGGCAAGACAGGTTTCCTGTGGCCGTGTCACCAAGGACCACGGTCGGTCCGGGTTTCCAGAGAACGACACTCAAGTATTCCCCCTGCGTGGGGCCTGGCGGGGCGACTCCTTCTGGAGGCCGTGGGGGAGTCTGCCTGGTGTTGCCGGAGACCTTGGTGCCCCGGGGTTCACGGCCCCATTCCCCCCATCCCCCACCCGTCATCAGTCGTCACACAGCTTCTCCCTGCGTCCCTGCCTGCATTTCCCTCTTACAAGGACATGAGCCATTGCATCAGGGCCTCCCTGCTCCACCATGACCTCATTCCAACGTATCACGTCCGTGGAGACCCTACTTGCAAATACGGCTGCGTTTCTGGCTGCCAGAGGTCAGGATGTGGACACACTGCTTGGGGACCACCATCTAACCCAACACAGGCCTTTGGGGTTCCCTCCTGTGCACTCGTGGCCTGAGCCCCAGACTAGATGTGGCCTCCCCTTCCTGCCTTCCCGTCTCTGGCAGCCACTTCCGGTGGGCGCCTGTCACAGCTGCCGACGTGTGCTGCCCTCGGTCTGTGTCTGTTGTCCACCTTCCTGAGGCCCGGTGCCCGGCAGAGGCCTGTGTCCCCACCGCCAGCACCTTGACAGAAAGGCCCCTGGCCTACCCTTCTGCGTGGGCTGCACACGGCGACCCCTGCCCACGAGGACCGTGTGGAGCCCGACCGGCACACCCGGCCGGAGACCAAGGTCAACGTCAGCGGTGAGGAGCCTCGTGGGCAGCGGGGGCCCCAGGTGTGACGGCATGAGCCAGACGCTTCGCTCAGAGCCATCGTGGGACGAACCCGGGGGGGGGGGAGGGGAGGGGACATCCTGCAGGAAGCCTGTCCAGTCCTCCTCCTGACCGCCTGCCCGGGGCATCCACCGGAGAAGAGGTGGAGAAAGCGTCTCAGCCCAGTGGGGGCTAAGGAGAGTGCGAACCCGATTCACGCGGTGTCCCGATGGGGTCGGGGACAGAACGAGGACACGGGAGGCCGAGGGATCGCAACAGTAAAGACGGCGTGGCGCATCCGTGGACGGACAGCGGCCTTTGACTGCCGTGGCGGGAACGCAGACGGGGCGGCCCAGCAGAAAGTCACCCCCAAAACAGGAACGCTGGGGGGACCAGATGGGACACAGGGTCTTTACACAGGTGATCGAGTTATGGCAAGGTCACGAGGGTCACCCTGACCCTTACAGGGACACCCAGGGAAGATCCTGTGAGGACACAAGGAGGAGACTGCCAGTGCTGTGATCTCATACCTAACGCCTCTAAAGCCGGGACAGAAACAGCTTGTTTATGCTGCAGCCCCCCCGGGGAACGTGCAGAGCCCACGCGGGAGAGACGGGGGCGCACGTCCATGGCAGCCAAGGGTGGAAACTTCAGTGGGTGGGCGGACACACACGACATGTCCACACCCCTCGGCCACGAGCAGGAGCGAGGCGCCCACCCCCGCCGCCCCGTGGACGCACCCTGAACACACGACACTCAGGGAGGGAACCAGACACGAGCGGGCACACGGGGTGTGAGTCCGCCTGCGTGAAACGTCCAGAACAGGCTCACCCACGGACGGGAAGGGGGCTCGTGGGGGCCAAGGGAGGGGCTGGGGGGTGGAGGTGATGGCTGATGGGGATGGGGATGGGGTTGCTTTTGGGGAGATGGAATGTTCTGGAATTGTAGGACCCTGTGGATGTACTAAAAACCACTGAGTGGTACAACATGTGTCGGTGAATCATGGTGTATAAATTACGTCACTAAAGCCACTACCGAGAAAACCGCCCGGAATGAGGAATCACAGGTCAGCGGCCCCTGGCAGCTTGCTGCACTTTCTCCACACACAGCCCCCTCCCACCGATTCCCCGTGCTGCTGTGCGTTTTCCGGGCTCACCCTTGCACATGACCTCCGCCGGCCGCCCGCCCCCAGCCAGGGGCGCACTGCCTGCACCCCAGAGTCTTGCTGGCTTCCCTCCTTGTTGTGCGGCCGCCCACCCCGAACCCTGTCCAGCCCGGACCGCGCTTACCCTGTCCCTCAGACTGTCAGCCCAAGGTTGCTGTTCCCTCTGCCCCTGATGCTGTTCCTTGTAGTCACCCCTTTGGAACGACACCTAACACACTCCCAGCAGCGCTGCTTCTCAGCCCCGTCCACCCGCAGGGCCCGCTCTTCCTCTCCACGGGTCCCGACACACACACACACACACACACACACACGCACACCCATCTACCGGCAGCGGGATGACCCCCTGTACCCAGCGCAGCCACATGCGCGGAGGCCCGAGAACACGCAGCCGGCAGGTGATGCGGGCAGGTGGGCCCCTGGTCCCGCAAAGCAGAACAGGAACAGGAAATGGCCACAAACAGCTGTCCCTCAGCTCCCTGCGCGGGGACTTCCCACCACCGTGGACACGGCCTCCTCACCTTGAGACTGTGGAGCCGCCAGGTGCGCAGGGAGCGTGGTAGACTGGAAACCGGTCGTTTCACTTCTTCGTGATTAAGGTAAACTTAGCCACGTGGGACCAGCGGCCACGTTATGGGGGGGGGGGGGCGTAGATTCAAATTTTGCTAGATCCTTGCTATAGAGTCTGGATTTACAAATTCACCTACTCACTAACGTTTATTTGTCTTTGTTTGTAAACGTATGTATAAAATCTTTCTGTGGATTTGTCAAATGTATCCTGAGCTGACCCTCCCGGCGCTGTTGTGGCCCCTCGCGGGCACACCCAGGCCGGCAAAACCGCGGGTCTCCGACGGCAACACCCGGCCTTCTCGTTTCAGGTCTGCTCGGAGAGAAGCGCCCTTTCGGAGGCTTATTTGGTGCGTGTGTTTTGCATGTTGGTGCTTTTTCTGGGTGATTCAGCTTTAAACGGGCCCCCCGAGCGTTCCCGACCACCGGAAGGCTGTGACATGCCTTTGGGAGAAGACGCGTGTGTCGAATGTGCTTTGTTCCATGGCGCTGTCGCCCGGGACGTGGATGTTAACGAATCGATGATATGGGCCAGGTAAGGGGTGTCTGAACCGGAACGCAGGAGACCAGGTAAGGTGTGGATGCGGCGAGGTGAGCGAGGCTCGGCCGCTTCAGAGCTCCGCACGCCAGGCCTTGTGAGCACGCTGCACGCCACACGCGCGCCAGTAATGACAACCAAGTCTTCCCAAGTCGGATGTCCACGGAGCTATAACTTCCAGACAGCGCCGTCCCCATCGCACAGCCTTTTACGCGGCGGCCTTAGCCGCCCCGCCCTGCTCAGCCTGTGAGCCCCCCCCCCCCGAGGGCCCCAGCGGCGCCCCCCCCTGCTCAGCTCGGGAGCTCCCCCAAGCGCCCCCCGCCTCCCGCTCAGCCCGGGAGCCCCCAGAGCGCCCCAGTCGCCAGGGAGTGACACCCCGGCCTGAACTTCACCCGCCTGCGATCACAGGCCCGCTCCCCAAAATGCCTGGGACAGCCTGGCGGCTCCGAGTCCCGGGGCAGTTCTGTAACACACCAGGAGGTCAAGCAGTGCCACTGCCCGCCGGGCCTGGCGAGCAGCCTGCGTCCCTGTCCCTCCGGCGTCCCGGCGCCATTTCCGAAGAGCCGCTATGGAGACTCTCGTCCACGCTTCTGGGAACGACCTCTACGCCTCTCTCTTGGGTGAGCACGCGGGAGCACCTGCCCTTCCGGGAAGGCCCACAGGCAACTTTGTAAGAAGCCGCCAGGCTGTTTCCCAAAGTGGCCGCACCGCACCCCTCCGCCGGCGGCCGTTCGCGCGCTCCCCACCCAGCCCTCGCCGGCGGATGGCACTGCCAGCTTCGTGGGAGTGAGTTCTTACAAGTGGCTTTATCTTTATTAGACGCGACTCACGCCCTTACCACTCAGCCCTTACGAGCTGTGCAGCCAGCACCACAGCCAGTCTGAGAATATTTATTTCATCACCAGGACACAGGCCCCCTGCCCCTCATCCCCTTGCCTCCCCCCGCCCCCTTCCCGTCCGTGGATGGGCCTGTTCTGGACGTTTCGCGCCGGCGGACTCACACCCCGCGTGGCCTCTCGTGGCTGGTTCCCTCCCTGAGCGTCGTGCGTCCGGGGTCCGTCCGCGGGTTGGCGGGGGCGGGCGCCTCGCTCCTGCTGGCGGCCGAGGGACGTGCGCGTGCGCGGGGGACACACCTGGGTAACGGGTGCGTGCGCCACGGACACGGTCATCTGCGGACGTGCACGTGCACGGTGGACACACGTTGCGTTAACCACTCCCGGCCGACGCTGGGTCCTTCCGCTTTGGGGCTGCTGTTGAGTCGTGGGGCCGAGGGCGAGTGGTGGGTGCGCGCGCGGCGACTGAGTCCGGGGCTAACTCCTCCCTGAGCCTCTGGAGGACTGGCCTCACTGTCCACCCCTCTGCAGCAAGGTGGAGCGGCCTGGGTCAGGCGGGGTGGGTCCTCCTACGGGCTGAGAGGCTCAGGCAGCTCACTCCACCTCTATTTGGGGAAAGGAAATGAAAGTATTTCCTAGCCGACGATTAAAAAGTTACAACAGGGAAGTGTGCGGGGAGGTGGCCAATGCATGGTCAGGCTGCCTGGGGTGAAGAGACAGCTCCGGCTCAGGGCAGGCCCTGGGGAGACGCAGGGTTTCTCTGGAGGCTGCATCTGGGAAGGGCGGAGGGGTCCGGGATGAGACGACCCTTGAGAGGTGACCGCGACAATTCAGGGGAAGGACCTTGCAGGGACAGGGTTTCCCCTAGGGGCTGGAGGCTGGGCAGGGCCTGGCAGGGGAAGGGGAGGAAGAGGCCTGCGGTTCCTCCCCTAATTAAAGAGGAGGGTGGGCAAGAAGCCTTGGGGCTGGGGAGCGTGACCCCACCACAGGGCAGTAGGCACGCTCTGATGTGAATATCGTCAGGCTAGAGTAAGCCGTTTCAGTCCTGCCTCCGAGCTCCCTGTGGTCCGACCTCCCTGTGGGCCAGGCCAGGCTCCAGGCCACCCAGCTGGGGCAGGGGCGGGGCTCCAGCTTGGAGGGGCTGGGGGCAGCCTGTTGGATTGGTCCTCCAGTCCCAGCTCCAACAGACATCTAGAGAATGGGTCAGAGAAGCTGGGAGGCCTATGCGGGATGGAGACAGGGTGAACCCTGCAAGCCCACTCCCTCGACCCCTGCCCTGCCCCCCAGCCTACTGTTTTTGTAATCCAGGCATGAATAAACACACACATGAACAAATATTCCAAAACTATTAACCATTTCCGTTTGAAACACAGGGGAAAGCCCACAGGGAGGCAAGGGGGGACTGGCCTGGTCCTGTGTTTTCATTTTGACAAAAGAGTAAACAGGCACCGTATCAACAGCCCTCCCCCCCCCCCCCCCGCAATCTGATCTGAAATGAGGAAGGGGGCCCCAGCAGGCCCCCTCCCAGGGGTCTGGGAGGCCAGTCCCCTCCACCCGTCTGGCTTCTCCCTCCCTTGCTCCTGCCACTGAGAAGATCGTGTTTTCAAAACTCTCAAACAGATACAAGGTGATCACACACCCACTCTCACCCTAAATCATTAATGAGGAAGCAGCTGGCAGGCAAGGCTGGGATGGGATAAAGGGCAGCAAATGTAAAAGAAAAAGGAGACCGACCTGCTCCTACGTACATACGAGCTGGGGCACCCCCAGAGCCTCCCCTGAGGCCCTGGCCCAGTCACGAAACATCTAATTCATACACGCCGGGGCCTCTGGAGTCGGGAATGCACGTGTGTTGTAGGCCTCCCCGCTTGTGGATTGCCCAAGTGTGGTGATCAGTGTGGGTTCTCATCGGAGCCCCTGCCCCCATCCCTTTCACGCGTGCC